TCGAACCCCTGTCCTCCGAGGGTGGCTGTCTGCTGCGGCTCCTCTGCGTTCCCGCCTCCTTCCCGAGCACCTTCCCTACCTCTGTTATTGGGCGTGATTTCCGGTACCCAGAGCTGAATTTCACCACGTCCTAGGTGAGAATCCCTTGGGCGCCTCCCTCCCTCCTTAAGATGCCAGCACATTTTGGGAAATAAAAGCAAGCCGTTTTCTGGAATACCTGGGGCTTGTGGAGGACGAAAAGTGAATATTCTAGTACAACTGATAGTTGGCACTTTATGTTTGCTAAATGTCACAAATGAGGAACAAGTTTATTCCAGCGTCCAAGCTTTTCATTTGGCGGTGATGCACCAGGTCCCTTCAGCCTTTGTAGGAGGGAGGTACAGTGTTACCCAAGTTTTGAAAGGGATGCCATTAAACAGGACATTGTCTGTAGGCTTGGTTGAGAGAGGAGTTGTTGACAGAATACGGCAATGTCTGTAGAAACACATTTGTGACCATTTCTAATCCTAGACATTTCCTAAACGGTTGCAAACAAAATATTATATCCCCACCCCCATGCCTGTGTGAGTGTTTAAAGACTGGTCCCCACCCCCATGCCTGTGTGAGTGTTTAAAGACTGGTCCCCACCCCCATGCCTGTGTGAGTGTTTAAAGACTGGAAGCAATGTCCTTTGCCATTCCAACAAGATGATTGCTTTTCCAGATACCAGATGGTTAATGTGTCAGCGTTCTGTGCACACAGCTCTCCTCAAGGCAGGAAAGGACACGGATTTTCCAATAGCAAGTTGATCTCATGTTCTCAAAGTTTTGCAGCCGGAGGTGAAAAGAGTTTCACTAACTCTCACCCACCTAGTTATCTTAATCTCCAACTTTAAGAGTTCCATCCCAGGATTTGTTCTTTCCCCCCTTTCCCTCTGTCTACAATCACCAGACCTGCAACAGAAACTAACCAGATGTTGAACTAGTGTGAGTTAGACAGGTCAGGCTTACATCCGAATCCTGGTTCTGCTGCTGTCTGACCTTGAACATGTTATTGAAGTGCTCTGATCCTTTAGATTTTGGTTTTGAGGCTTTTGGTTTTTATTTTGTTTAGAAAAGAAATAGCTAGTGCATAGCTCTTGATGTGTTGAAAGAATTAAGTGAGAGGACATCTAAATTGATCAGCAAATCTTTGCTGAGTTGTGCTTCTTCAGTGTCACAAATAATAGAAATGATGAAAGAATATTTTGATACTGCTTTTACATGTGCATCCTAGTTAATGTGATTCAGGGCATTGTGAAAAGCAAAACATTCTTTTGAAGTAACTGTAATCAATAGAATAAGAAAGCACTAAAAAAAAAATAAAACAGTTATTTTAAACTTTGTAAGAGGTGCTTCTAAAAACATTCACTGAAGTGACATACAAGTTTCTTATAAGCTAATAGATATGGAAAGTCACATGATCAGCTCAAGCATGTGGTTACATAGTTAACTTTGAACTCAATAATGGGAGACAATAAAAATGTATAATTTTATGTTGGGATGGATATATATACATATATATATATGCATACATATACATACACACACACACACAATACACACACACACACACACACATATATATATATATATATATATACATATATATATATATATACGCTTATTTCTTTTAAAGAAGAGTTTCAGTAAATTCACAATAGGACAGACTTTACCAGTGGGAGCTCTATAGAGGTTCTGGAAGAGTAAGGTACAGGAGAGGTATGGAAGTTGTAATTCTCTTCCCAGGGTCTTGACCTCTGCATCACTGCATATGTTAACTCAGTAATATCTAATAAAGTTTTGTATGTAATAATGATAATAATGTGATGGTATACCTGACACAGATGTATTTCACAAGGAAGCAGACTTGGGAAGTTATTAATTATAGAAAATTTTAAACATTTAATTTCTGTTACAAAAAATGTAGTTGGCATTCTTGTGGCTTATTAAATAAGTATTAAATGTTTATCACATGCTATGAAGATAGCATACTGCTAGCAACTCTAAAGCAGAATAAGCTGTGGTTGCATATCACTATTTTCCAAAGGACAGAGCCCAGAAATGTAAAATCACTAATAATGAATGACATGTGAATTTTTTTCCTGGCTTGTGGGATAACAGTCATGGAAAACCCTGTGTGTAGCCTGTGAATCATCCCCAAGGATCAGAACAGAAAGTGCCTTTTGCGATTTCCACAGGTAGTGGGGACTGTTAAGGCAGATAACTGAAATCTTGAGTGGTCAGCTGTTTCTCCTGTCACTCATTCAGACTCTCTGAGCCTCAGCTTCTCAATTACAAAATGAAAGCCTTGGATGTAGTCTCTGATGCCCTTTCTACCCTTGGGGTAGCAGACAGTCAGCAAATGATATTCCCTGTTCTATGGACAGTGGGTAGACTTATCCTCTCAGCAGTGAGTAATCAGGGTTGAAGAACAACTTCTGGGATACACTGTATCTTCCTGGGGAATTAAAATGTATCTATGCATATTAAGAAGCAATTGAAGTCTTCTCAGCTGCAGCAGAGCATGCTGAATAACCTGGACCCAGGAACTTGGTGTCTAGGATGGTTTCCAGAGGTAAATATCCAGGTAGGCAGGTATGTGTGAATTGGTGCTGAAAGCCTGGGCCAGAAGAAGCAAAGGGCAGCTGAAGGATTTATTTGATGACAGTGCCCTAGAAGTAACACTCATCACTTCAACTCCTGCTGCATTGGCAAATTGTTAATACACATAACAAATATGATGTAAGTACACATAACAAATGATACAGTGTAGCCACATGTTCACAGTTAGCAATCTCTGTCACATATTGCTAGGGCTCAAATGAATGAGAGGGCTACTTTTCTTTCTCCTAAAATATTCAGAGCTTGGTACTGTCATGTACTGTTTGATAAATGACTGTCATTACTTTATCTCATATATAACTTGCATTTCTCCTGCCTTTCCTTTTGATGTCTACAGAGGAGTGTATTCAGTTATTAGAAAGGTTATTGAGGATGATAAATGTCTGAATGCGGCTATACCAAACAGTACCACACCAAAGTGCTACTCCTGATCCTCAGTTCTTACTTGTAGCTCATGATCATCTGTGTGCAGGGACTGATTAATTTGGCCTGTTTTGAATCTTTGGATCCATTTTTACTCCATCACCAGTATAGCATTATCCTAAATGTGAGGTTTTCAAGAGGACACAGAGGAACCTTTGCCCCTTAAGGGATATGTAGAGGTATCTGAATGTATGAATGGGCTTTTGTAACCCCAGGAGATAGTAGAGTTACACCTGCCAAATACCAGATAGAAGGGAAGAATTGTACTAGTATCTTGGAGTACCTAGGGCAACCTCGTCCTCCGCTGGAGCGTGTCATCTCACCCGTCGTGTCAGCAGTGTAGAGGTTGAGAAACCTAACCCTAATTTCTTAGGTGACGATGAATTTCTCTCTGTGCTTGGCACTCTGGAAGCCCTTTTATGGATATAGTTTGTTTAATTCTTAGGGTGCCCCCTATATCAGAAGCTATCTTCACCACCATCTTCCTGATGAGGGAAGCGAGGCTTTTAATAGCTTAAATGACTTCTCCATGGCCACAACTATTAAATAATAGAACTAGGATTTAAGTACAGGCCTCGGAGTCCAGGCTATTTTTGCTCTGACAGATAGCTGCAGTGCTCACACCTAACTTCAGTCAGATGTTTTAACTTTATAAATTTTTTTTTTTCAGGACACTTAGGATCAGCCATATCAATCACCCTGTGTGTCCAAATTCCTGATTTATCTAAAGTGAGAGCACCTACTTTCTTTTTCAAAATTTTTCCAAAGTATGTGCAACATCAAATTTAGCATTTTGGCCACAGTTACATGAATGCAGATACATTTATAACAGTGTGGTTCTACTTAACTATCTTTTTCAAACCTTTTTGTCATCCATATAAACCCAAGTGAAATCAGGATTTGGGCTGCTGTATCTGGCTCATTTCACATAGTATATTTTCAAGGCTCCTCCCTGTAACACAGTGCACCTTGACTTTGTTCTTACAGATGACTGGCCCATTGTCTATATATATTAATTTTGCTTATCCATTTCTTAGTTGATGGATATGATTTTTTATTTAAGTATAATATTTTTATTATGTGAGAATTTCTTACACGCATACAATGTGTTTTGATCATATTCACAGACACACACACAGACACACACACACACACACACACACACATATTTTGGTCATTTGAGACAAGGACTCACGGCACAAGTGGCCTGGGACTGTCCATGCCCTGCTTCATCCCTCCAGGATGTAGGTACTAGAATTACAGCTGTAATAATACCATGCTCAGCTCCCTGGAACTTTTTTGAGATCTTTGGAGCTTTTCCAAAATAATTACTTGTCAGTTTGTGAAGGAAGCCCCTTAATATAGAAAGTCCTCCAGAGACAAGTCCTAGGCTCGGCCTTGTGGGTAGCCAGGGTCATCATTCAGACTGATACTTACAGCCAGTGTCCTGAGTGTGGAGTCTGATCTCACCGTGGGATCTGTGGCCCTCATTCTTCAGAATCTACTCTCCACTCTTCCTTACTGTCTACCCCTCAAGGATACTGTGTGGAACAGTGCTCAGAGATATAGCTACGCTGACAGGCAGGCTGCCCTCCCAGGTGACTTGCCTAGGGTGATCCTTTCTAGTGTTTTCTCGTCCCTGTATGTCAGTTGTCACTCCAGATGGAATCTCCCTAAGGACCAGAGCCATGTTTCAGCCAGAATGATAGAGGGGTACAGCACACCTTCACTCAGAGGTGTCACTGTGGCCCATAATCTTGTGGGTGGTGTACATGTATTTTTGTCAGTGGTGGCCACGGAGGATAGGCATAATTCTCCAAAACTGGATGGTACCTAAGGGCAGCCAGAGTCTTCCCCCTCAGTACTGCCACTGAAGGCACTGGCCTGATTCAGCTCAGTCTGTCTGATAGAGGCCAAGGGATTCCCAGCATTCAATTATGACCTGGGCAGGAAACAAGACTTCGAGGTCACAGTAATATTAACAAGGATATCTGAGGGCCAATCTTGGCCTTCAGCCCCAGCTGAGGAGCAGAAGGACCCCCACACCTGATAGGAAGAGGGGCTCCTTCTTTCTTCCTTCCTTCCTTTCTTCCTTCCTCCCTTCTTTCCTCCCTCTCCTTCCTTCCTTCCTTCCTTCCTTCCTTCCTTCCTTCCTTCCTTCCTTCCTCTCTTCCTTCCTTCCTTTCCTCCTTCCCTCCCTCTTTCTCTCTGTCTCTTTCTCTCTCTCTCTTCCTTCCTTCCTTCCTTCCTTCCTTCCTTCCTTCCTTCCTTCCTTCCTTCCTTCCTTCCTTTCTTTCTTTCTTTCTTTCTTTCTTTCTTTCTTTCTTTCTTTTCTCCCCTTCACATTTGGCTACTGGAACTTTCCCTTGGGCTAGGGAGATAGCAAAGTTCTATGTTTGGTCCCCAGAACCCATATTTAAAGAGTTGAGTGTATGATGACCTGTGTTTGCAGCCCAATCACCAAGACAGTGCTGGTTGTCTAACTCATTTGGCAAGTCCCAGGCCAGTAAGAGCGACTCTCTGAAAACCAAGGTGGATAGTAACGGCACAGTCTCCCGAGGCTGTCCTCTTGCCTCTGTTTGTGTCTGTGCTCCCGCATAGCGACATAGAGAATGTCCCTGTGGTTTTAATACACACTTCCTTCCTTAACCTCTTTCTTTTTCTTTTCTCACATCATCCTGCCTTTGCCCTCTAGGCTGTGTTAGTTGTAAAGAAGTTGCTCTAGTAACACAATTCATGCAGTCAATAAGCTTGTTGGGCATAGCCTCTGTGATAAGTTCTGAGAATGCCCAGATGGGTAATAAATACAGGTCTCACATTTCAAGAGGCTCTCATTCTGAGTCTAGCAGGTGAAACAGCTGTAGATAAGTGATTATGGTTTGTGTCTTGGGTGTGGCAGGAACTCAGGGAAGAGGTAAGCTATCTCTACCTGAAGAGGGCAGTAAAGGTCTCCATAGGGGTTCAGAGTGAGCTACATTTTGAAGAGGGAGGGGATTCTGGCAAAGAACAAGGAGTGGCAACAAGGCTAAGCAGACCCTAAGTGTTGCATTAGGGAGCTGGCACACTTTCCTGCAGGTATTTGGAGTAATAGAGACTCCAGACAAGGCTGGTGTGATCATATGCCAGACGGAGGAATGTAGCGGATTCAGTAAGTTGGGGTCAAGAGGGAGGGAGCTGATATAGGGAAAGGGTGACCAAAATTGCAAGTCAGCATACAGGCTGTGATGCTGTGGGCCTAGATCAAAGACAGAAATTATTAGAATTACAGAACCAGGCTTGGTGTGGTGATGTATGCCTGTATTCTCAGCACTTAAGAGGCAGAGGCAGGAGAATCATTTCAAGTTCAAGGTCAGACTGAGCTACACAGTAAGATCCTCTCTCAAAACCTAAAACGCAATAATTACAGATCCAACTCCATGTGAAGAAGGATAAGAGTAGGGCCAACTTTGAGACAGACATTAAATTGTTTGCTCAAATAGGAAGAAGTTTCTAGAGAAAGAAAAAGAAGAACCTTCACCTGGGTCATATGAATCTGAGCACATGCAATGTGCACCTTAAGTCACTCCTGCTTGTCATCTCATGAACACCGGAAGTAGTCTACAACAGGACCGTGATACCGAAGGGGTCTCTGTCTCCTAAGACACATCTCTGCATATACCCAGTGGGGAAAAATATTAAAGATTGTGAATATTTAATTTTTAGGAGGTAGGTAGAGTAATTTAGAAAAAATGAATATGTAATAGTTTATAGAAATACAAATAGGGGTGTTACTTTCTAATCTCCTCTTAGGGGCTTGAATTAAATTGCCACAATTCATTTGCAAATTTGGCTTAGGAAAAATTTGTCATTGTTTTCATCTGCTTTTATTTAAAGGTCTGAGAATACCTTTTGTATGAAATTATATCTATTTTTTAGTGTGTGGCTGTCTGTAAACCACTGGAAAGAATAAAATCACTGACCATACATCAGGAAAGATGCTTAAGAGATTAGCAGTCTCCACATGTCCACTGTAGGCTGGCCTCCAGAAGAACTCTACCCAAAGATAATGTCAGGTTGTACCTGAGGCTACTTACTGAGCCTGATCTTCAGCTGCTGCTGTTATCCTGAGTTGTAATTTTTCATGTCATCTAAATTTATAAAAATTCTTTAATATGACAGAGTTTCAATGAGTAAACATTTCACATGCTGCATTTCTGCCGAGTGAGTAATTCCCTGACAAATCCAGACTTTGGCAGTGACAGGCTGACCGTAAACTGTGTTCAGCTTTCAGAGTATGAAACCCGTGATGTGTAACACAAGTGTCCTTGAATTTAGATGCTGATTTTTTTTTAAAACAAAGAAAGTGGGATATCTAAATTTCATAGAGCGGGGCTCTGGTGTCGTGGTAAGGCCCCAGAAAGAATATCGCTATTACCAATAGGCTCATTTCCTCAATGGGAAAGACCTTACGCTGTTCCGGTTTTCTCTCTGTGGCTTGTTCATGGCTCAAGTGTGGTCTGCGTTAGGTTAATAAAGAGGGTAAATGAACACCAGAGGTAACATGTGGAGCCAGATTCCTGTCTGTTAATAACGAACTTACTCTAAGACTGAGGAAAGACTGAGAAGCTGATGTTTTGCAGAAGATATTAAGGCCATCACAGGAAGCCAGCAATGAGGCTTGACCACACCATTCCCTAACCGGGGTTTGGACAGCCGCCTTGTTGCCTGCTGGCTGAATCTCTCCAGCAAGCTCTCTGAGGGTTATGTCATCATCTTTACTTCACCAACCCAACCCTTTCCATCTGGTAAAATGTAAAACATGGCGTCTGATCGTAGTTTTTCCCAAAAATAAAAACAGAGGGGCTGCATGGGCTGTTGCTGTTAATTTTAAAGCATATTAATCGGTGCTTTGAAAAGCCTGTTAAGCTTAAACAGGATAAGCGTAGTCAGTTGCCACGGTGTTTCTTATAGGACAGACACAAGTGCAGAGCAGCCTTTCTGCCGCTGTGCTAGAAGCTCCATAGATGTTTCCACATTGGAATGATGCAACAACTCGGGTTTGCATTGTGGTGAGCTCAGAGGTGGTTGCTCAGTAGTCACACAACCTTCTTAGCTAGGCTTAGTGGGAGGTGCCAGGTATATCCTTTACCAAGCAGGAATATGTGAGGTGCACAGTTGCTAAATCTTTTAAATTGCCTGTCTTTCCCATCCTCCTAAGCATTTAAAGATATTTGCTAGTGGTCCTGGAAGTTACAAAAAATGATGGTGTATGGCATATAGTCAATAAAAAGTGTTCCTGCTAAATCACTTCTGAGTCACATACATATTCTTATGTGCCCATATTACACTCAAGAAGGCGTTTATTATTAATACCGTTTTCCTTTTGCTACCTGTGACATTTTATAAGAGAGATGACCTTGTTTTTTGTTTTTTGTTATGTTCAAGGTCTCTGGGGAACAAGACTCATGGAAGAGAGCACCGCTAACCGAGAGAAATACCTGAAAAGCGTGTTAAGGGAGCTGGTCACTTACCTCTTTTTTCTCATAGTCTTGTGCATCTGTGAGTACGCTGTCTGCCCCTCTTGTGGAAATGTCATAGTCATGGGTGAAGAGACATTTGTTTAATTCTCAAAAATTATCGTTATGTATGATGTGTACACAGAAGCAGCCATGGAGGTGTAGATATGGAGGTCAAAGGACAACCTTTGGGAATCTCTTCTTTACAAGAGTTTCGGGAATCAGACTCAGGTTGCCAGGAGTGATAAGTGATATGTGCCTTTTTTATTGAGCCACCTTGCTACACATTTCTTATATAAACAGAGATGGGATAACCTACAGTATTGGTAGGAGAAGGGAGGGAGGGAGCTGGCCTTATGTAACATTACCTAAAATGTCCACCTACTGGGAGTGTGGATACTGTGAGCAGCAATGTGTGCTCATCCCTCCTGATGCTCAGTTGATACGATGTGTCTTCCAGTGACCTACGGCATGATGAGCTCTAACGTGTACTACTACACTCGGACACTGTCACAGCTTTTCATAGACACCCCAGTGTCTGAAACAGAGAAAACCAACTTTAAAACTCTTTCTTCCATGGAGGACTTCTGGAAGGTATTTATGAATGACTAGAAGTATGTCCTTGTCTCTGAGAATTATTGATTTGGTATCATAAGTTCAACCCGTAAGTATCTTCAGGAGTTGTGAGTTATATTAAGTTATTTAGAGTTCCTGTTCCTTTCAGTATTCATGGAGAACACTGCAAGTTCTTTACGGAAACTGAATGTTTTACACCCTTTATTTAATTCCTATAATGATCTTATCTAGTGCATACTAATACAGTGTGTGGGCCCCTGTTTGTAAACAAGGCAAGTGAGATTCAGGGTGTGCGTGGTCACATGGCTAGAGAAGAAAAGACCTGGTTTTTGTTTTGTTTTGTTTTTTTGTTTGTTTTTTGCTTTTTGTATGACAACTGCTTCTTCATAGCCTATTGTTCTCTCAAGTCATCTATGAGTCTGTAAACGATGACTGAGAACTGTCCTGTGACACAAGTCCCAAGTAGAAGTTTGGATGTCACACACTGCTTTACTTTTTGTGATTTGTGTCTTTGTTGGCAGTGGCGTAATCCTCCCCACCCTCCTCAGATCTACGAACTACCTAATAAGACCTGGACACATTATTTCAAAGGTCTGCTACTGTAAAATTCAGCCCATTCTCTTTTCCAGTTCTAAGCTTCAACTTGCAGACATTGAGCAGTGAGTAACACTGAGGCCATGCTGAGCCAGTGCTAAGTGGTAGGTTGGTTTTAGTTACTTTTAATAAAGCACTGTAAATCCTCAAGAGTCATAGTAGTAAAATATCACACCTTACCTATCAAATGATGTGGTACTCAGAATCGGGGAAGGCTGTAGAAGAAATGGAAAAGGAAGTTATTGCTTCTCCCCAGAGAAATAATGTACAGTATTCTTACTAAAACCCGGAGAGCAGAGGCCTTGATTCCAAACAGAGAATGCTGAGCCACTGCAGCTTTTGATATGTGACACATACGAGCCACAGTTGCTCCATCTTGACCTTTCCCTAGATCTGTGG